CTGAAGCGAAAGTGAAATTGGATGAAGCATGTAGAAGCGGCACAAAAAGTTACCCAGATCCTCAAAGTTTCAGTTGTATTGAATGACGCGTTCCGAAGTTATCACCTGGGTAAAACGTCGTGGGACACCTTGTATACAATACAGGGCGAGCATGAAAAACCACCTAGGTTTTCTGAGATATTAGGTGAATAATCAAAAATCGCTCGACTAGAGATTGAAGTTTACCGGTAATTTTCATTTGTTCTTTCTCAGTGGTAATTTACCGGTAATTTTTCGGTAATTTTCGTAGTTTTGGAAATATTTCATAAAACAAACAATTATGACTATATCATATACTATATACATTCAAGGATTATATATTTCCAGAATTTTTTACCGTAACAATCATTTATTATAATATTGTTTGTTGTAAAATCTAACCTCGTAGAAATATTACAATATTTAAAGATATAATAATACCTAATTCCTAGAATGAAAAACGAGCAAAGAAAATCAAACAAAAATGAAAGAGAACTAAATTCCTAATCTGGTACTAAACTAAATAGTAAAGTAAAGTGAATAGCTACTTTCAAAGGGCAAAAAAAAAACAAATAAATAAAATGATCTGAATAAGTATAGCATAAGAGATACCTAACTCTGTCAAGAAAATTTATTACTTTAAGCGTGCAGCGTTGGCAAAAGTCCGGATTTTTGGAAATTTCTATTGGTTTTTTGGGTTTTTGCGAGAGTTGCGCTTTTGTAGGGGTTTTTGTGCTTTAAGATCTTTGACTCTTTGAAATTCCAAATAATCTCAAACTCAGAAGTCAACAAAAACCCACTACCCACTGAGTTTTTGAAATAGGCTTTTCCCACGAGTACAATATTTTAATTCAAGATATAGGCACTACATATTTTTTACTTCAAATCAAATTACTATCTATAGGTACTATTTTCCATTCAGAAAACCTAGACCTTACACAAATTTTTTTGATCAATTTCTGATAAATAAGATGGAGAGAAACACTCGTGGAAAAACATTACACCTAACTCTTGCGGAAATGTCTTTTCCACCCTTAACAGCTTGCGGAAAAGCACCACTTTCCGAACTTGTTGGGTAAATAACTATTTGTTTATGTATGCCAACAGTGAAAGCGCGTTACAGATTCACAACTAAATGGCGAATATTGCATGAAAAGGATTGTCGCCCGAATGTGTTTTCATTCAGGAAGCATTTCTGAAAATTACCGGTAAAGAAATTTGTCGGGTTAAATTACCAAAATTTCCTTACCAAAATTACCGTTACCGTGGTAACGTTACCACACTTTAATCTCTACGCTCGACCATTTTATTTATTTATTTATTTAATATAATACACAACAGAGGAAGCTCCAAATGGTATAACTTATATACTAGGTCTATAATTATAATAATAAACACATAATAAGTTAATAAGTGAAGGGTTAAGTAAATAAATGTCCACGCCCATACATCGGAGTTGCAACCAATTAGAGAGGTAAATTTTCCAAGTGAATTGTCTGAAATCATTGAGCCAATATCGATCTCAACTTATTTTTGAAGGTGATTGGAGTGCAGTTGAAATCGACATTCATCGGAATATATGTATTGAAAAGATGCATAATACGGTTCATAGCACTGTTTTTGCCAACGTCTGTTCGGCTTCTATTAGTTAAAAATATGTCGTTTAAACGTGTATTGACAGATGGTATTCGAATGTTCATAAGTGCTAAGAGATCAGAGCAATTTATGTTATAGGTAATTATATTGAAACCGAATGTTAGTGTAAGGAAAACCCTACGCATCTCCAGGCTTTGTATATTCAGCATTTGTAGACGATCCTGGTGGGAAAATAGGTTTTTGTCGATTCCGAGTTTATATAATAGGAAATTAACAAACTTCATTTGAACTCGTTCGATGCGTTTAATATGGATTTGGTAATATGGTGACCAGATCACGCAGCAATACTCAAGGTGACTTCGCACCAACGAAAAATAGAGAGATTTTAGTACCTCGACATTAGAAAACTCCCAGCATCTTCGCATTATAAACCCTGCCATTTTGAAAGCTTTGGACAGGATATGATTTATGTGGTTGTTGAATCTTAATTGGGAATCAAAAATTACTCCCAGATCATTTATAAGGTCTACTCTGGGGAGCGGAGAACTTGAAATATAGTAGGTGTGCAATGTTGGGCGCTTTTTTCGAGAAAAAGATATTGATTTACATTTGGAGATGTTTAATTCTGTTCCATTAGATCTGCACCATTCTGATATTTTATCGATCTCGAGCTGTAGAATTGAACAATCGAGACTGCTAGTGATTTTCCTAAAGATTTTTAGATCGTCGGCGTAAAGGAGGAAATGGCAGTTGGTAAGTACGTTGGCTAGGTCATTGATGAACACGAGGAACAATATAGGACCTAGATGAGAGCCCTGGGGTACTCCGGATGTCACCATTATTTTTCTTGATATGGAACCACCAAACCTGACGAATTGTGTTCGGTTACAAAGGTAACTTGCTATCCATGTTAGAAGAGGATCTGTGACGCCAAAGGATTCAAGTTTGCTGATCAAAATAAGATGGTCAACCCTGTCGAAAGCCTTTCTAAAGTCGAAATAAACTGAGTCGACCTGGTCCCCTGAGTCAATAGCTGCAGACACGTATTGAGAGTAAAGGCATAAATTTGTCTGGCATGAGCGACCGGACAGGAAGCCGTGCTGATTTTCAGAGAGGCAGTTGTGTAGAGTTGACAAAAGCTCATCATTTACTATGGACTCGAAAACCTTGGCCATGCAATCCAGGCCCGAAATTGGGCGGTAGTTAGCGACGTTTCCCCTCTCACCACCTTTGAAAATAGCAGTTACGATGGCAGTCTTCCAGAGGTCCGGAAATTTTCCAGAGCTGAGAGAGAGTTGAAATAGGGTGTTAAGTGGAGATGTCAGGGTCGGACAACAATTTTTTACGAAGATTGGGGGTATGTCATCTGGTCCTGCTCCTTTTTTTTCATCCAATCCAATTAGTTTTTGGAGCACAATGTCGCAGTTAACTCTGATAGTTGAAAGGACAACATTATTAATATAAAAACGTAATGGGTTAATAGTGATTGCGGGATCAGAAACTGTGAATGTAGACTGAAAAAAATCTGCGAAAAAATCCGCGATGACTTTGGGATCACTAGAGTCAGCGTTATTGAAAGTCATTTTCGCAGGATAGCTGACAGAATTACGTTGAGACTTTATGTAAGACCAGAACGCTTTAATGTTATTCAAAATATTATTTTGAGCAGTTTGGACGAAGGAATCGTAGTCCCTCTTTATCGAGGTTTTTGATTCTGATCTCAGTTTTTTGTACTGAAGCTCGTCTAAGTTTAATTTCGTTCGTTTATGTTTTTTAAAAGCTTTGTTTTTCTTGTTAATTAGAGCTATTGTTTTTTTAGAGAAATAGTTAGGGTATTTTAGCGTAGAAATTCTTGTCTTTGGAACGTACAGGTCGATTGCGATGTAAAGTACAGTATAAAACATTTCCAGGGCGTTATCAATGTCTCCGCACTGCAAAAAACTCCAATCGATAATTTCGAAGTAATCGTTTAAGTGATCGTAGTTTGCTTTATGAAAGTTGTACTTAAAAAGTTGCAAATCCGATGCATTATCCTTTGTAGCATCAATACAGAACCCAATTACTAAAGCAGGATGATGGGTATCAATACAGGTTAAAGGTGACATATTATTCGATACAGATACATTTGAGAAGTTTGAGAAAACAAGGTCCAGTTTTGCATTATTAAAGTTGGAGACATTATTGTACTGGACAAGATCGTAAAAACACGCACAGTCGTAAAGTGTTTGTTCCCGTTGATCACTGGAAGTGAAGATTTTATTGAGTTCATCGTCACCACCAGCTGAACATAGGTTAATGTCATTGTTATTAACTATGTCGGATGCACAAGTTTCAACTTTGGCAAATGAGTTTGCATAGTTCGGAAGGTTGAAATCTCCCAGTAATAAAACATTGGACCTTGGAAAACGGTCTAGCATATAACTTACTGAAGTAACGAGGTTATCATAGACTACTGCCTTAGAGGATGGAGGTCATTTATTGGAATTGTCACCTTCTACCTGTCAACCCCTAAGCAGGGGTGACAGGTACCCCTAAAATATCAAATAGAAAGGGGGGTCGAGTGATGCGTCATTTGATGGAAAGTTTTATTAAGATTATATCCTCGAAGTTTTAGTTACGGTAGGTTAAATAGTCCCTGCCAAAATGGCGGCACGTCAAAATTAGGAAATATCTAGTACATTGTATCACTCGAACCCCCTTTCCATTTGAAATTTTGTGGTCAGAGGGTGGAAATACCAATAATACATGTCCCCCAAAAACAAAAATTGACGCGTCCGAGCAATTTTTGATTAATGACCTAACACCTAAGAAAACCCAGGTGAGAAGTTTTTCGTGCCCCACCCTGTATAACTTACAAACTATCTGGCATGTTTTCATTGAAAACAATCAATAAACATTCACTAAAACTTCCAGCAGCAAACTTTATCTAACTTTCGTTGTCTCTGGGGGAGTCCACTGGCGGCCATTTTAGAAAATCGCCGCCACGGCCACCGGGGGGCAGTTGGCCGATGGCTCCACATCCAAATTTGTTCATATTACATCGGTCTACCTCTGTGCCAAATTTGATGCCTTTATTTAAAAGTGCACAATAGGTTAGCTAATCCGCTGTACTACATACATCATCCTGAAAATTCAATTTTGAGCCACCTTTGATGTGTGATAATAAATACAATACAAATTAGAAGTACTTGTGTAAAAACATGACTTATTGGTTTTTTGGTTTGGATATCATTCTTAACAGATATTTTATGGCAAACAACTTATATATATTTGTTTCAAACTGAGTTCTCTTTCCATACAAAATCGAAGAGTTGGTTGTATTTTGGAAATGATAAATATAATAATAAGGACAAGAAACTAAACATCCAACACAAATATGGGCTTACCTTAACGTGTGGTGAATTGGTGAAAAGAAATTTTCTGACTATTAGCAACAAAAAGTCCAATTCTTGATTGCGTTCGTGCACTTCGTCGATGATGATATGGCTATACTCGGTCAAAGATTTCTTATGGATCAGCTTTTGTAGCAGTACACCAGTGGTTACATAAGTTATGAGCTGGTCAGGTGATACTTTTTTTTCTAAGCCAACCTGTAATAAAAACAATGAAACAATTTTTGGTTGACATGGCTTCGCAAGAAAAAAAAAACGTTGACATAATTAGCGAGTCCAATTAGTTATTTATGTACCAAGGCTTGTAAGTACACGCTACAAGGCGAGTTGCATATGATATTTTTTGTGCTACCGTACATTCAAGTTAATAAATATCATTCTAATATTTTAAGTTCTTCAATACAAGAAAGTATCCCTGTGGTAAATGTGACTAGTTGTAAAAATGTTTCTTTTACTTTCAAAATTACAAAGTAAATAACTATGAAGTATCTCATTTTTATATTATTACCTATCTGTTTATGCTAATTTCAACTTTTTGACGTCTAGGTATTTTCTATTTGTTTGAATAAAATTGTATCCTTGATTTGTTTTGGGTTTTTTATTTAAGAAGTCGAGTGTTTTTGTGACATTATTTTGACAGAGATATGAACCAAGCAATTTTCACCTTTCAATCAACACTTTTTTGACCCGGTCAAAAAAGTAACTTTTTTGGCCCGGTAAAAAAAGTAACTTTTTTGACTCGGACTGTAAGTGCCACTTACAGTTCATGGACATAGGTCAAAAAAGTCAACTTACAGAATGGGTAGCACAAAAAAGAATATCTATTGCAAAAAGCTTCTAAAAATAAGCAGCTAATGGAAATTCCTAATACACATGTATGTGTCTTCAATATTTAAGAAAATATATTTATGGAACCTACCTGATATCCACAAACAGTACCCAAAGTCCACCCACGCTCTTCACAGACCCTCTTTGCGACATTGATAGTTGCAATTTTTCGTGGCTGAGTAACGATGATGTTGCAAACTTCATTATTTTCTCTTAGTGAATCCATTATCATTTGAGGCACTTGCGTAGTTTTACCTAAAGAACAGCAAAACGTTTACAATTGGGCCAAAAAGGTTTCAAGTATTCATTTTTCAACAATTAGGCCAACTAATTGCGGAAATGTTTAAGATATGGGATAACTTACCGCATCCGGTATCCCCCTGTATGACAACCACTTGATTTAGTGCGATCCTAGTTAAAATTCGACTTCTAAATGAATCTATGGGCAATTCTGATCTCACATCCAGGTTGAGAAGAAAGTTGTACTTTTTATAAATCTCATTGGATGCTCGTCTGTCTTCTGACGCCATTTCACTGTATTGTTGACAATCGACATTTGTGCTCTAATAATAATAAAATGTAGTTAGAGTGTGCGAATTCCATAGAAATTCAACTAAATATTTTTCACATATGAAGCATTAACATTATGTTACATAGAAAAACGAGATTGAACAAAAATATATTTTGGATGAACTGGTCTAGTTTGTAACAAAAGGGCAATCGGTAGAAAGAAATCTGAAGCCTTCAAGGACCTTCTCAGCTAATAAAATGATTGTCAAAAAGGAGAGTTGCGCCTTTGGTCTCATATCAAATCAAATTGAAATATAGCTTTATTGTCTAAAAAATACATAATAATCCTCATTCAATTCAAATTCAAATTCAAAAAAACTTTATTGTCGAAATTTCCCAATAAAAATTATTGACAAAGCAACTTAAACACTATATCCGGAAAATCCGGACAAACAAGTTTCATACTAATGATTACTTAAAACATGATCTAATTCTAATAGTTAAAAAAAAAAGAAAAAACAATAAAAATTTGTAAAACTAGCCAACAAATAATGACACAAAAAAAAACACAAATGGAAGGTAAAATTCAACATACATAAAATTGCGAGTAAAATTAACAAAAAAATACAAATAAAATGTAAAAAATTTCAAAAATGTAAAAAAATTTAAAAAAATACAACAATCAACAGCAAGATATCACAACATTATTATTATTATCATTAAACTAAAAACAAAAGATACAGTCTAAGAGAGTGCTTCAGCATAGTATTCATCACAATTGTAGAAGGAATATTTTTCAAAGCAGGTCATTACTGCTTTTCTAAATTTTTTAATTTCTCTTATTGACCTGAATTTGAGTGGGTGGTGGTTGTATAACTTGACGCTCTCATAAATTACTGATTCCTTGGTCAAAGTAAGTCTAGGTATAGGAAAGGGTATAAGTTGGTTTGCGGTTTGCCTAGTGGATCGTTCAGGGGCATAAGTAGCAGCATTTGGATTTATTTGCTCTTTATGAATAAGGCAAACAGACTCTGGTATAAAGATAGCAGTCAAAGTAAGAATTTTTTGCTTTTTGAATAATGGTTTGCAATGTTCCCATGGCGCTGCTCCACTCAAGATTCGAATAGCCCGCTTCTGAATTCGGAACACTGAGTCAAGGTTAGTTTTGGAACAGTAGCCCCAAAAGGCCACCCCGTACCTTGCCCGAGACTCAAACAGAGCATAATACACCATCCTCGCTGATTGCAGATTGAGCTCCTTAATAACTATTTTAAGTGCAAAACAGGCAAATGATAGTTTAGGTTTGAGTTGGATAATATGTTCTTTAAAATCCAACTGTTTATCAAGCACCAGTCCAAGAAACTTTACACTCTGATGGGACTCAATAAGCTGGTCACTCAGGGGTATAGAATTTATGGAGAATCTAAAGGAGACAATATTAGTTTTTTTTAATGTTAAAACACAACTGGTTCGCATCACACCATTCCTCTCAATCACATCCTCAAGCTCGCCCCTTTTACCTGTCCACAATATAGTGCTATCATCAGCAAAGACATAAAACTTTCCATTATTGATGTTGATAAAGGTGAGATCATTAATATAGGCAAGGAAGAAAATAGGGCCGTGAACAGATCCCTGTGGCACTCCCTGGGTTATTAGGTACTTTACTGTTTGATAAAGATTGGTTGCAGCTGACTATCTGGGATCTGCCTGTGTTATAAGATAACGCCCATCTTGCAGAAGAGCCCCTGAAGCCATAGCGACCCAGCTTCTGCAGCAGTATTTCGTGATTCACGCAGTCAAAGGCTTTTGAGAAATCACACAACACCGCCGCAACCGAATCTCCCTCGTTAATATTGAGATATACTTCCTGCAAGAGAGCAAATATGGCCTCATGCGTGCCTTTTTTTTGTTGAAATCCAAACTAAGATTGTGCGGTGATGTTAAACTTTTCAAAGTGAGAGGTAATTAGTGATGCGCGATGTTCTGTAAACATCGATGTTTTGTATTCGATATTCGATGTTTTTTACATCGATGTTGATGGCACCAGATATCGATGCTACCATCGATGTTTTTCTAAAACATCGATCAAATATTCTGTTCTGAGAATTCTCTTAGAGGGCTCTGCCTATTGCCTGTCATTACACTGTCATTTGCAATACAGTAGACCACTTTCGCGATACGCACTACTACTACAGGATGGCCTATCCTCAATAAGGCATGTGTGTAACAAATCCCCTCCTTCCCCCATGTCAAAATACCAGTTGTGACGTAGGCAGCATAATATTTCTCGCCTTGACGTAGGCTGTTTAAATAGCTGACGACTTAGTATGACGTCGGCAATGGTGGCACACCAATATGGCGGCGATTACCAAAAACAAAGCCGATAAGCACTCCTTAGAGTGTGTATTCTCCTTGGTCGGGCGCGACTTGGAAATTTTGCATCTTTTTTTATTTGGTGATCTTAACGAAGACAAACATATTTGTGAAACTGCTCGGAGTGCGCCCGGGTGTCTTTCATGCGGCCCGTAGAAAGTAACTTTTCCTTATTAGCCAGCCACACACGAAAATTTCGGCGCGCAAGTTTGGAGTGTGCCGTTCCAAAAGTCGCAAGAGAAGTGTCAGTTAGTGGAGTGTCACGATAACAGGTTTTGCGCGTTCTGATAAGTTTGGCGCGCAAATCGCACGTGCAAGAGTTAATTGCACATAAACGTAGACTCTTGTTATTTTTCTGGAATTTCAAATTTATTTTCGATATAGGTGACAGTCGGAAAGTACCTACTCAAGTATTATATTTAATAGAAATTACCATTAGGCATTCCAGGTCACATGACTTTTGACAGGTCCGCCATATTAGCTGAGGGGCCAACAAAGCCTATAGATCATTGTTTACAATGTTTTTTGAGTTTGTGCTTTGGAATTTTTGCGTTTTTTGATTTATTCAATAAATTTTAAGTTGTTTTTAGTTTTTGTGAATGAATGGAATGAATGAATGGATCTTTATTTACAGACATGCCACTTTACATTTCAATTCAACAATATAGTGATAATAATAATAATAGTAAACGTAAACAAACAATTTATTAACAAAAATAATGCTTAAGAATCTAAATTGTTTAAAAAATAAAAAAGTTTGATACTAACAACCTTACAAATAAACTTTAGCAAAATAGATTTGTGGTAGAATGACTCCTCAAACGTTTTGACTGTTCTGATCGGTGCACAGATCTGGCATGTAGCTTAGCTTACTGGCTTGTTCATTCTGGGCTTCTATCAATCATCGTAGTATATCCTAAATTTGTACTGGGGATCCAATCCGGATTGTTTGTATCCTTAAATTCTGCTGGACTACCTAAAAGGTATTAAAAGTTACCTATATACTTGTAGAAACATAAACAACTTTTTTGATGTACCGAGATGAATTTTTTTTTGTATTTTAACAACAAGACAGTCATAATACTTACCATTAACAAAATGTTTTGAACAAATACGAGCATTTTTCAGAAACATTTCAGTTAAATCTCTCCTTTTGAGGCATTTAATCCACAGATTTCGTCGTTCCTTTTTTAGCTCGTTTAGACGATTCCCTAGATCTCTTAATGCTGCTGGGATCCTGAAAAACCTTTCTTTATCTCTTTCCGCTCTACTAGAGCACCCAACAACGCAGCAAAAAGAAGGCATCTTCACAAAATAGATTGAAAATTCTTGGTTTAACATTGAATCAGGTTATGTTTGGCTTTTGTGTGCCCCCCAAGCTAATATGGCGGATCGGTTATGACATTAACCTGGAATGCCTAATAGACTAATGGATAAGGTTTAATTAATTAAGCAAATAACCCTTGAAATGTAAAGGGAATTCAAGGCAAATTAAAAAAATATATACCACCTAGGTATAACATTTATAATTTTATATCCTACTGAACTATTAAAACCATATAATACCTTGGTTACGATAATCATAAACAGGGTCTTAACTCCCAAGGGAGTTAAGAATTTTCATCTCCCAAGGGAGTTAAGGAAGGGAGTTAAGGATATCATAACTCCCAAGGGAGTTAAGGATTTCCATAACACCCGCTTTTACCTTGAATAGGTAACACTTTGACAAAAAATAGAAAATTTGATTTATGGCTTATTCCTTTATAAAAATAGACAGAATACAGTAAATTCAGTAGGATATAAAATTATCTATGTACCACGGGAATTATCAGGAGTTAATACCCACGGGCAATTGGTGTCCCGAGGGCCAAATAACTATTATCGCCTATAAAAGTAAGAGTTGATTCGTTCACAAAAAAAGCTTAATTTATTGCAAAGGTGGTATATATGACCATATATTGCCCTTTCTTCCAACCATTTTTTTGACCAAGTAGATCGTTTTTTTTTTTTGTCTTAATTGTAAAGAATATGCATACAGCATAGCACATGCAATAACTTTTCTTTTTTTTTTATCGAGTGAAAACATAAGTACTAGAAAATTTACAAAAACAGTACACCTCGTAAAATTCACAGACTCTTAGCAAAACTGTTAGAATTTCTAAAATTCCAGATGCCGTTCCAAATCTTTCCGATTTAAGAAACTTCTAACCCATTAACGAAACACTTTGGAACGTCAGACTAAAATCTGTCGGCTAAGCCCGCATGTATTTTTTGAACGTTTGTGGGCAAAGACGCTCATATGCGTGCCGTTTCAAGCATGTACATCCGGAACGCCCCGCATCCACGCGCGTTATAAACTTTTCGTGTGTGGCTGGCTATTCAGTGCGGGAAAGTAACACTTTCCGAACTAAAATTAGTGCGGAAAGGTTGGCAAAATCGCACGGTCGTAGAAAAATACATTTTCCTTTATTTTTAAAATTTACAATCGAAATATTTTCAACTGCCAACATCGACCATCGATATTTGAAAAACATCGATGTTTGGTAGTCGATATTTTCATACCATCGATGTTGACTTTCGATGTTAACATCGATAGCCAACATCGATATTTCGTATCGATGTCGCATCACTAGAGGTAATTCTTGTTTTAGCAATTTTCTCAATAACCTTGGAAAGA